AAAATGGACAATTTGGGAAGAGGAGGTACGATTATTCGAGCCTCGCGTTCGACCAATCGTCGACAACTGTAAATTTTTAAATAAATCGTATCTCCCTCGAATCCTCGGACAATTTCGAACGAGGACTGACGGCAAGTTTTCTGGTTGCAGCTTCAAGAACTAGAAATGGAGAACGCCCAGCTGAAGAAAGACTTGCGTACGCTGAGAGGAAGCGTGGCCTCGGCGGGCCTGGCCGGCGCAAAAGAGACTCTCATGGGTAATTTATTAGCTTTCGTCCATAGAGAGGTCGTTTACTATTTCTGCGATAGATTGTACAATAGAAAGTTATAACATTTAGTTCGGTAGGAAATTATAGAGAGTTTATTTCGACAAAAATTGTAGAGTTCAATTCCGTCAAAATTGTAGAGTTTAGTTCAATACGAATACTGCAAACTGTTTTGTTTTCTACGCTTTTATTTACTGTAACAAATACAAATACAGTACACGTTCGTAGCTCGCCTATTGCTTTCGCAACCCTCCGCCCTTCACAATACCACGCTTACGCACCACCTAAGCCGCCTTAAACACTTTCTGCTTCCTCTCGCTGTCTGTGCATGCCTTTGGGACTTTAGAAATTAACGCTAGAACTATCGGGCCTTAAACGTGACTACTGCATATTGTTTTATAACAGCGCCAAGACTGGATTTATTTAAACTTTCTATGATTTGTATTATAATATGTGTACTTCGATATAAAGAAGCGTACCTAAAAAATTTCCCTAGAAATATATTCACAATGTCAGGGACTGTAAAAATAAAATATCAGAGACCAGTCATTTTTAGTGGCTTGGTAGTTCTAGTGTTAAAATTGGACTACATAGATGGGACGAGAGCTTTAAGGAAATGCTGGAACTTAAAAGCCACCCGTTGCACGACGCTCTGCACCGTCCACCGCTTATCGCTTATCATGCTATCGCAAGATATAAAACGCTTGATCGGACGCGGGCTATTTGTTCGACTTGTTTTCAAGTCACGGGATCATCCGACATCGATCATGCGATAGTACGATGAATTATTTCAATTTCAGGGCAAATCGCCGCGCTCCAGGAGGAGCTCGAGAGACGGCGAGAAGAGTGCATACAGCTGCATAGCGTGCTGGCGGACAACACGCGCGGGATGAAGAGCCTTGGCTCGAACTACGGCCGGGACGTGGACATCATCAACGAAGACGGTGAGCTGGTGCTCGCCTTCGAGACACAGAAGAAGATCAACAGGTAAATCCCGGGTTCTCATCGTCGTCCGATCACGCGGAACGCTGAGAACAGAGTGCAGCGGTGTCTAATCGTCCTTTTGTCCTTTGTGCATGCACCTTCGATTTTCAGTAGTCTTAAGACAAAGCGAAGGGCCTCGAGAGTGTGAGTTCAGCTGACAATTTTGCCCGCGAATAGTCGCCGATCCGCTTAATGCTGTCGATCTCTCGCACTGTTCAATCGGCGGACGCCAGCGTATCATCCTGATTCATAACGATCTAATTCATCGCTAGTTTGAAGAACTGCGGCTGTAACACTCATTCAGGAGAGCTGTCCAATTTCGACCAGCGTCTGGAGCCATCTTGTATCTTCAGAAAGAACACCTGGCAATTTTATTCGTACTTAACGCACGAGATATATCAGAAGTCCTCGAAAACGTTATCAACAACACACGTTCGAAAAACTATACTAATCTCATTTATAATCGATCAAATTATTTAGACCGATATCACGTAAGAAATAGGAAATCTTCAACAGCAGACCGATTCGTTATAATGCAAGGGGTTAATTAAATTATGCTGATCTTGGTTTAAATCTTGAAGAAGTAAACTATTTACAGTGCAGTAGTTCTACCAGACACCGCTCCGAACTCGACAACTCTCCCCATAGTTGCGAATCTTTTCCTCCCTTAACTTTCGATTGAACAACTCGTAGTTGAAGCGCGATACATCGTCGGGTGGTTTTATCTTTGTGTTTTCCGCTTTGAAGACAATTGGAGGATGAGCTGCAGATGAAAGAGAAGGGCTGGAGGGAGCAGAGGATCGAATGGGGGGCAGAGATCGACCGACTGCAGGAGGAGATCGAGAAGCAGCAGAAGCTGCTCTCGGTGAACCTCAGCAAGTCGCCGCAGACACAGGCCGAGGCTTATATGCAGCACGAGATCGTCAGGCTGACTACAGAGAACTTGGTATATAAACGAATAATCAAATAAACGATCTGTCACATACTCCTGGGAAACGTACAGCGTTTAACGATGCCTTTGAATCGATAGGAGCTGCAGGAGAAGTTCGACAAGATTGCGGAGGAGTGCAGGAAGTTCAAGCGACAGCTGAAAATACTCTCGAAACGTCTTCGGGATGCAGGCTGTAAGTGCACGATCATTCTGTTGTGTATGAAAATTGCAGAGGATGTTTCGATGAACAAAATTGCGAAGTCAGAATTGACAACAGCCGTTCCTCTGCAATTATCATGCACGAGTAATTGTACGTAAAAGAAACTTGCTGTGTCGGTGAGTTTGAGGATCGGTATTAAAGTTTTGTGGTATTTGAATGCTTGCGAAGATGAGGGAGACGATTCGAAGGATCATAGGGATCGCCCTTACACTTCGAGGGGCGCCGGTGAGTCTGTGGTCCAGTGTTCACTGTCATCGCACTTCTCGCAGACCATAACTCACCCCTGCTCGCGAATCAATCATCGCATCTTTGACTATTCGCGTGAACAATTAGACAATACGAAACTGAACTGTTTCATGTTTCTCTCCCAGTGCCAGATACGACGGAACATGCGAGCGATTCCCCGATGATGTCTTCCACTGGGAACTCCAATGATAATGGTAGCAACATGCCCGCCATCAGGAAGAAGGAGAGGGACTACGAGGGTATGTTCGAGTTCAGGCAAGACGACGTCAACGTGATCATACGTCACCTAGTTATCGGTGAGTCTGCTCCATTTCATTTTCATTCGCGAAATCAATTATGATATTCTAGAATCTAATTATCTTGAACTGCCTATTTAATCGTTCTGAATTATAAGTCAATAAATAAATGTTTTTTATGCCATGCTAAATTATAAATCAATAAACAGTTCCACAAAATTACATTGTAGCATAATATAATCGGTTTTGTGAAAAAACGATAAAATAAGAAAGAAATATCGATCGAACTCCGGAACCATCTTGAACCTCTATCATTGTCATTGCAGAGTTGAAGCCGAGAGTCGCGGTGACCTTGCTGCCCGGCCTGCCGGCATACATTCTGTTCATGTGCATCAGACACACGGACTGCGTAAACGACGACCAGAAGGTGCGTTTGCTGCTCACGGCCTACCTGAACGCGGTGAAACGCGTGGTGAAGAAGCGCACGGACTTGGACTCGAGCGTTTTGTGGCTGAGCAATACCTTGAGGCTGCTGCACTCCCTGAAACAGTATTCCGGAGACAAACCGTTCCAGATCGAGAACACGCCACGACAAAACGAGCAGTGTCTGAGGAACTTTGATCTGAACGAGTACAGAGTGGTGATGAGCAACGTGGCGCTCTGGATCTTCAATTGCATCATAACAAACTTGAAGGAGAAGATCCAGGCGCTCACAGTTCCAGCTCTCCTCGAACACGAGGCTATAACCGGCATAACTGGTCGACCAAGGTCTTCGTCGGTGGGCGAGGAGCCAGAGTCCACGCAGCAGAAGTTGGACAAGCTTCTGGACGAGCTCAGCTCCGTCTACAGGATTCTCCAGTACCACGGCGTCGACTCCGAGATCATTGTTCAGCTGTTCAAGCAGCTGTTTTATTTCATGTGCGCCAGCGCGGTGAACAACCTGCTCCTGAGGAACGAGCTGTGCCAGTGGACAAAGGGCATGCAGATCAGATACAACCTCAGCCATCTGGAGCAATGGGGCAGGGATCGGAAGCTGGAGCAAGCCTCCGAAGCTCTTCTGCCGATCATCCAAGCCGCCCAGCTTCTGCAGGCTAGAAAAACAGACGCGGACGTCGCTTCGGTTTGCGAGATGTGCAGCAAACTCACCGCCAATCAGATCGTTAAGATCCTCAACTTGTACACGCCGGCGGATGACTTCGAGTCCAGGGTCCCGGTCTCCTTCATCAAAAAGGTCCAGGACAAGCTGAAGGAGCGTGGCGAGAAAAGCGAACAGGTGAGCGCAGAATACTATTGTACTTTCCTCATTTTAATTAGTGTTCATTAACTTGCAAACATGCCGAGCAATCTCTAATAGGAAATGAATTCATAGAACATTGACTAACGTAGAATTTTAGAGCAGCAAGCTGATGAATTGAGATAATATTTCATAAATAGTCTGCAGATCTTTGCAAGAACAAGGTCTAGATAGAAAATTTATTCTTTCTTCAGCAGTGTCAATAAGTTGGGCTATTTTCTAGTTAGCATTTTGTTGACAACATTGTGCGACAAGGGGATCGTTTGTCTGTTCCAGTTGTTGATGGATCTAAAGTTCTCGTACCCAGTAAGGTTCCCGTTCAATCCGTCGAACATTCGATTGGAGGACATCGAAACACCGGAAGTACTTCATTTGCCCATGCTCAAGAAGGTGTAATCATAGCTGCGAAGAAAACTTAGTGGCCCCGCTGCGCATGTAACTTTTTAGTTGAGTAACAAGTAACCAAGCATAGCCTATTTATTAACGAAGCCAAAACGAAAGGGAGAGCAAAACGTCACGAAGGGGTGAGAGAGGAATTAAGAGCGAGGAGAGGGAGAAAGAGAGTGAGAGAGAATGAAAGAGAGAAAGAAAGAGAGAGAGAGAGAGAGAGAGATGGGAGAAAGATGAAAAATTGGAGAACGCATCGAGCGGGTCATCGATATCACGTTTTATATATTTTTTTTTACTCGAGTAATTTGTATTTTACAAAGCATAATTCCTGTCCGCGCGATGTACAACGTCGACTAAATGAGAATAAGTTTCGAATGGCTGACAGATAAATGAAGAAAGGGAATCAGAGAGAAACCATATTTTCCGTTTCGTTGTTTGTAGTGGTGTAATCGAGGACGGTCATCGATGGAAATGTCTCTGGTGGAGCTTGCACTTTGCATCGGAATCGTAAATGGACATAGTGAGACATGAAGTGCCGAAAATTCTGTATCCCCAATGGTACAGAAGCGTTGTTATCAAGATTTAAAAGAGTTTAATGGTACGCGTTGTTGTCGTCGATATTGTAAGTCTATCGAATGTTGCAAGACAGAGAACTTTATTGCACGGAACATCCGGTAACCCGTTGGAGATCTGTACTTAATTGTGTAAAAAGAAAACGGCAAGAGAGAGAGAAAAAGAGAGAGAGAGAGAGCGAAAAGAGAAATATAAAGTTATGTTTTAGGAGAGACATTGTATATTTTGTGATACGAGAAAGATTAATTATGAGGTCGGTTCCCCGCAGACCGAGGGCAGAAGATGGGCGAGAGAGATCCGAGCAGGAGAGAGAAAGACAGAGGTATATATTGTTGTTATAATATAATTTATAAATATGTACAAGCGATTGTATTCTGTGCCATTTTATTAGTAGAGATTCTAACAAAATTCTGTTTTCCTACGTTCGTCGATCTGCGTTTGTGTTTATGCTTTAAAAAAATTATTATCGAACACATACACATACACCGACAGACTCCATATAGTGAAAAATCCCTCCTTCAAAAAAAAAGAAATCCTATATCCTGGGAAAAAAATGTGTACAGGAAGAACTCTGTTTGCGCGAATATACCTTGACTCGATGTCACAAATTTCTTTGTTCCTACAATGAAAATAAAAAAAAGAAGTCGTTGAGGAAAAGGAGGATGTGTTCAATTGAAGATAAAGAAAAACTGAGAATGAATGGAGACGTGAGAATTGGTAAAAAGTGAAACGATTTATTCGCATTGCTATATGAAAATTATATAGCTATATAGTTATATATAAATTATCGTTGTGGCGAACGGACGAGAAAAGATAGAAAAATTGACAAACTAAATTAAACGTCCAAATTAGAAGTGTGAATGAAGCTCGGGACAAGAGCCGAAGGGTGAAGAGCGTAGTTAATTATAATTAAGTTCTTTTCTTTTGCTGTAATAATTAATTCTCAAAGCGTAAATTAATTTCGTTAAGCTCCGTCCGACGCGTCATTCGGCGACCGAATATCGTCGATCTTCAGGATCATCTTCACCAGTTGCGTGGCCAGCAGGATCTGTTGAGACTTGCTGGTCAGGGTCTCAATCACGTTTTGGGCATTCATGTCTGCAAAATTAACCAAAATTTTTAGAACTATTTATTTCACTAATGCCGAAGGAAAAGAACGTTTCGAAGTCTTTTTAAAAAGGAAGTTCGTATTTTTTAAACAAGTAGATTGCAAGCTAAACAGATCAGCTACGTATAAAAGATTGATGATTTGGTACTCACCAGCAGTACCACGATTCAAACAATCGATGCCAAGGGCGGAATTCTCCTCTTTCACCTGGCGGGCCTTGACCTCAGCCAAGGTGTCCACAGGGGAAAGACCAGAGTTCTCAGCTAATGCCAATGGAACAGCTTCCAAAGCTTCGGCAAAAGCACGGAAAGCATACTGCTCTAGCGTGCTAATTTTGTTCGCCTCTTTAGCACAAGCTATGGCGCAAGAAATTTCGGCTGCACCACCCCCATATAAAATCTTTTGGTCCTTTATCAAATTGCGAACTGTGCAAAGCGCGTCGTGGATCGCTCGCTTTGCTTCCTCAATGATCTATAATGGGTGTATTTCATTTTTATATTTAATCGTCAGTATTAAAATCTTGTGGATACGTTTTTAAAGTAATCTGAAGTCGCTAAATAAATGTCCGCAATCTTTACACGAGGAATTAATTAGTTAAAAATGAGTCTATTACAACTTTCGAAAAGGAAAAGGACTATTTCGATATAATTTTTAATTGTCAGTAGTGCTGCTTATAATGCACTATAAAATGTACAATTTATTAGTTTACTAATTTTAACTTAATATGTGAACTAAAGAATCCTATTTTCCAAAAAGAATATTGTTTGAGTGCATTCTGTGGAATATTAAATTCTCCCGTGAGGAAGAACGGTGGCGCTGCGATCGCTTAAAAGCCGCCATCATAGTCAACTCTGTGTTGCAGTTAGTGTGTGGTTGTACCGTTGAAATGAAGGAGTTCAAATCGGCGATGCGAGAATTGAACAAGCAAATATTTCAACGCATTAATTTTGCAAGGTGTCTGGTCAGTAAGGTATATTATTAACACCTCTGAAATTCTCCTTGCCAAAAGTACGTTATAACTGTAAGAGAAAATGAGTCGATCTATCGAACAGATCGAGACCGGAATTCGAATCAAGATCTATTGCTTGCCGAGACTATATCTCGTCAACCGACGACACATTCTCTCGCAGTTCTTATAAACGCAAAGAAACAATAAATGTCAGAAATATGCCGGACTATTACATAACCAAATAATATCACACTTACCATCTTATTACCGCCGCGAATAAAGATGGTCACAGCCCGGGAATTTTTGCATTGCTCGATGATGAGCATTCGGTCTTTAGTTGTTCCAAAAGTCAATTCTTTGACAATACCAGCATGGCCAAGCTTTTCTGGCGTTAATTCTTCGAATCGAGGAACTATACGACCACCGGTAGCGATAGCAATTAGCTGTAAATATTTTAATTTACTTTACCAGTGCCTCTATTTCGAATCTTTAAGTACATAATAGGTGAGGTAATAATTCCCTCAGATCTCATAATCTTGTGGTCATTAGAGCCACTGCGAATGACAGATTACTATTTAATGAATTTAAAGGATCTTATGCATATTTTTTCACTACGAATTAATAAAAAAATAATATATAGATTCTCAAAATTCAATAAGTCAGCTATCCGATCGTTCGCCCTCTTCCGTCGCAATTTTTCATCATTGGGAATATTTTCGAACAAAATGGCGGATCTAACGATACTTACTTCGATTTCAGGACCACCAACCCATCTAACAGCGGGCAACTTATTCTGCAGAAGGAGATGGTTGGCCTCGTCGTCGAAACCCCATTGGCAAATGGCAAGAGTAGTTCCTGCATCCTTTACCATTTTCACCATTTCCGTGAACTTTTCCCGCTCATACTCCCGCAGAGCTCTGTAGTCATCGACGGAGGTAACGTCCAACTTATGTTTCGTTTTTGGTTTTGGCGGTTCGAACGGACATGTTAGAATCGCCAGTTTTACGTCCTCCAATTTCTGTAGCACAAAACACATTTTCCATATGTATTCTTTAATTTAATTAAGTCATTCTTTGCGCGGAAATTATTTTTGCTTCAGCTCTCATAATCTTGTGATCATTGAAGCCACTGCAAAGGCTAGAAATCATTGAATAATCACTTTCAGAGACATTTCTATTTTTTCACTGACTTTCGGATGATAGTCAGTTAAACAGTAGTTGGACTCGAAGAAAATAGATTAAACAAAATTTTCTGAACCTTCACCCTTCTCTGCAGCTTTTTGTCATCATTAGGAAAAGTGAATACATTTATTAGACATAATTATTTAAATAAGTTCCATACCTTAGGCATCTGAGGATGACTGAAGTCCTTGTCTACAACAACCCCATGAACTAGAATAGTATCTTCCAATCTACCTCCAACTTTTCCTTCAACCTTAATCAACTCAAAGTTCACATCCCTTGTTTCTGGATCTAAAACTGCGAATACAGCATTCACAGCTATTTCTGCCATCTGCCTATGACATTTGTTGATGCTGAAAAAGAAAATGAACAATATATTGTCTTATCTGTAATTACAGTAAGCAGATATAGAATATAAGATTATTTAATTACATTTTTGACCCAAGACTAGTCATGGCAATATTGATGTAAGCCTCCCTATTTTCGTTGCTACCTTCGAAGGTATCAGCAATGGTTTTCAAATGGTCAGTAGCACATTTGGCTGCCATTTCAAAACCATCTGCTATTCTGATCGGATGAATTCCTTTATCCAACAATTGTTCAGCCTGCTCCAGCAGATCACCAGCTAATACAACTACTCCAGTTGTACCATCTCCAATCTCATCGTCTTGAGATTGAGACAATTGAACCATCAGCTTGGCAATTTCGTGGTCCACATCCATGTTCTTCAAAATTGTTGCACCATCATTTGTTACTGTAACATCTCCATCAGAACTGATCATCAACTTGTCCAGGCCCTTGGGTCCCAAGGAAGTTCTAAGGATGTTGGCCACATTACGTGCAGCCATAATGTGTGACTGAAAATTAGAAAAATAATGGCATAAATATATGTCCTAAGTCTGAGAATTTTTTGATTTAAAAAAAAAATTATTATTGGAACAAAAATAATCTTGTAAGTATGATTCAGACGATGAACAAATTTCCAAAGTTCCATCAGGCTCTCATGGAATCATGGTATCTCCTTTTATGGTCAAAAAGGAATACAGCAGTAAAACAATCTGCATTTATTATATCCTCTATCCAGAAATTAACAAGAATAAATAATTCCCTGTGTACAATTTAAGATAAAAATTGTATCGCCGATTCGAGCTATATTTTTTAATTAACATCTTCAGAAAAAATTGCCAAGCCCGGAACGCCGCCATTGCTACGCGCTTCACGTGGTCCGTCCTTAGATTCAGATCTTAAATTTCCAAACCTGATGAAACCATGATCAGAAATTTTGTTTAGAAAACAATTAATATTTTTAAAGGTGCAAAATAAATAATGTTAATTATAGAGAATTAATTTACCTTGATAGCATCGGTGCCGGTTAATCGTTTTTGTTTGTGTTGGTCACGAAGAATAATGAACGGTCTTCCATATTCGTCGAAGGTCACGGCGCCCGGAATCGCGGTCATTTTGCTAGCAAAATATTCGCGAACTATTTATTAACAAGTACCCCTTTCGGGATTTTTCGCTTCCACAGGAATAACGTTCGATCGTCGACAGGAGTTACACGACCATCTTGTTGCCAGCAACCGGATGTTCACGAATCTGACCTGCCATCTATTTTCGTATGTGTAGTTCAGGCCGATGCGGTCTGCCAACTGTTGGAGGGAAATTCAAAACGGTAGACTGTGCTTCCACGGCGCAAATTGTTTCCAGATTTTTCAGCAGAAAATTCTGAGCAGGATAAGTATTTATTCAACCGTAAAAAGCGTCGGAGAAATTAGCCATAAGTTCGAAAAGCCATTATGTCGCTGGCGTGCGCATCGATGGCGTGCAGAGAAATGTTGCTATCGTTACACCATACGTGCACAGGATTAGTAGTTTATATAATTATAATCTGTTGATAATTATTCAGTATTTTTTCCGAATGAAATTCATACCTAGAGATTTACTTTAAAGTTCTGTAATTCACAGTAGATTATATAATATTGATTTTAATAAAATTGATTAATATTAATTTCAGTTATGAAACGAATTACCTTATGCAATAGAACACAATTTCTTGTTGGATCATTCTTTTGAGGATGATCTAGAAAATCGATTTGAAGTAATAATCTTAAAAGGAATATGTCAGGTTATGTTACACAGGATGATTTGCTTATCAACCTTGACTAAAATAAATATTATGTAATCGATCGTGAATAATAGATTCTTCAAGACTCCTCCGAGCTATCGAATCTTCCGTATGATCGTGAGCAGGTCGATAAAAGTGAAGCAGATTTATGTTTTGTATGCACCACATTGTATTTCACATTAATCTATCATAACTTTGCATTATAATTTTGAACAGTACATATAGTTATAGACATATAATTATGGTGGAATTAATTCATTCGATAGAGGTACTTTGACTCAGGGCCGAAGCGGCCGTAGTCCCCCAATGAGCCGCACGTTTAAACAATTTTAAACAAACAACCGCAAAAATTCAACCGTAACTTACCGAAATCGAACGATCGAATTAGCCTATGATATGTATCAGTGTATCACCTTCGTAAATCTCCCCCTTCGGAATACAATAATTCAACGATTACGAAAATAATCCTAATCCTCCTCGATCTCACGCGAAATCATCTTATCGTTATCGTGGTTCAATTGAATCGTAAATCGAAACTAACGGAACAGTTCCTGCGTTCGCACGCACGACGCATCGGAGGGTATAGTTTACGATTAGTTAATAGATATACGCTTCCGGAAAATATATGAATACTATGTAAATATATACCGTTTAAGTATACATATCGATCGAAGATAAAAATATAATTTCAATACGATATACATATATGTATAATATATATATATCTCGCGTTAATAACATTCACAAGATTAAAACTCTCCTTAATGGATTTAGGCATTCACATGATATGTTAGAGTTCCCTTACACGATATAACGATCAACGTTGGAAGTATAATATAATATTCTCATTATTCCGTGTGTAACTAGAAATACGATTCTTTCTCTCGTTTTCTTTGTTTAGTTCCTTTTCTTTTCGTCTTTTTTCTTTAAACTTGTATCATTTGTGTGTGCTTGGACTCCCGATGACTAGCATCAGTGGCGTAGAAACGAGGGGTTGTCCGGATTTCGCAGCAGGTACTTGACGCATCAGAAAGAGTGTCCGCAACGACGTTCTCATTTCACTCTTACGTTCGTATTTTTTTTTGTTTTTTTTTCTCCCTCTCTCTCTTTCTAACAAACCGAAAAAATAGCACCGCGGCTTCCAGATAATTCGATTACAATTGTAACGTTTGCTCTGTCCGGGCCCAATCGTAGGCTGACAAGTCTCGAAGCCGCAATTGCGTCTAAACGCCTGCGATTCCCAGAATGATCGAGCTCTTAGTTTTTAATACAGACAGCGTAATAGACGTTAGTTAACGTTTCGATTCCCACAAATATTATTCTACGTGCACGTTAGCAGACAGACCCGGATATTATATATGTATGCGTCTGTTCGTTTAATTAATATTCTTTGTTTACGCTACGGCTTTCTTGTCTTTTAATTAACCGCTTGACGAAGCGACCTCCGAGGTTCCAATATTTAGTCAATGGAGTGATTCCCGCGATTGGACATCTTTGATGCGCGGCTCGATCTCCGCGACGATAGTTGTTCGATCGAGCGGCAGCCACACTTAAAACAGAATCTCTAAATACCGAATCTCTACGTATACATACGTACGTCTAAAGAATTTTGGAATATACGGCTACGCGAAGCAAGATACTTCATTGATATGTGTACGTATTTTTCTTTTTCTGTCTGACCGCGATACGACTTCACTCGCATGTATATGTAGTAGAGTTTTTTTTTTTAATAAGTTCACTATGATACGTTCCCGCAGACACCGACGAATCGTTTTTTCCTTCGTTCGGCCGAGTACATAATTTTGTTTAGAGCAAACATGCTTTGTTCGACGACGCTCGCCCGTGAGAAAATATTTCCTTTTTTCTGCTCGACGTTCGTTCGACCTCCTGCCGAGAATCAGCCGATTCGAAAATATATATATATGTATATATATGCGTACATATTTACTTTACTCTGTCTGTGCGTTTGAGTAATTCGAGGAGACACCTTATCTTGTAAGTAGTAGATTCAGGAAACTCGATTCGAGGATCTGTTTAAGTTCGCCCGTGTACAGGGCAAAGAAAGCATCGTACCCCGACGGGATGTACGATTTCAGCTGAGATTATATTTTCCAGGAGGGGTGTTCTAATCGTCTGGAATCCAGATCGCTAGACCAACGAGAAGGAACGGAAAATAATGGACGAACATGTAGAACCGCCCTGTATACGAGATTCGTCTCGATCGAGCCTGATCCCTGGAAACGCGCCCCGCAGAATCTTCTCATTGATATGTATTTTTCCCTTAAAACACTAAGAAACAGGCTACTCTGATATGTATTATTAGTTCTCAGTCGCAATGTTTGGAGAAAACCGATTGGAAGGCGCGTTTGCATCGCTACCCGGTCCTTCACCAGCCGAGGTCACTTCGGACTCTCGTCGAGGTGGCCTCGCTTGGCGGGATCGGGACCGGAGGCATCGAACGAATCGAGAGAACTCCGAATCGACAGCTGAAAATCATAGCAACGAATTAGTGTGAATCGGATCCGTGAGAATCGTGTGCGATGGGTTTGATTTCTTGCGACGCTTTCTCCACTCTCTCACCGCCTCGGACCTAATCGTAGACGCGTTTAGGCGAAGGGCACGCTCTTGTAGAATCGGTTCCCCTGGCCGGTGATCCGCTTCTCGCCGGAAGTGTACTGCACCACCGATTTTATTTGGTCCGTTGCCACGGGCCCGATGCATACCAGGGGATCCTTGAAGTAGGAGCAAACCTGAAACCGAGAGAATAATTCATTTAGGGATCCGCGAGACCGTTAATCCGTTCGCTGTCTAAGTGGAATTCATGCTTCATCCGATTTTGTGAAACAGTACAGTAAATTCTTTCTAATTGAGATACGATCATTCGAGCCTTGTGACTCGTTTCTATAATTGTCGACAATCGGTAACTATAACAACGAACTATCGAATAATCGTATCTCCTCTTCCCAAATTGTCCAGGGAGAATTAGGGAGAATTCAGAATTGTTTCACACATTCTGGGACAACTAACCGCGAAGATGACATGATGCATCGTTTAACCCCCACTTCTAGAATTCTTTACTTTATCATTGGTTATTGAACTATTCGTCTTTGTGCAAAATAAGGGTATCTTTTACGGAATTTAAAATCGATGATTCTTATTCTTGTTACGAACGTGTAAAACTTCTATTTCTATTTAGCAGGCTCCGTCGAAAATCTTCGGTCCGATTAGACAAGGGGTTGATTTTTATTTTCATAATAGAATGGGTTCGAGCCCCAACGAATTTCCAAAGATAAATCCGCTATCGATCAGCGAGTTCAGGTGTGAATAGACAGCAAAGGGATCGAGGGGAGGGGACGGGGTTAGTTTCGTTGCAACGTGAGTACTTTTCTAGGGGTCTGTCGATGACGTCTTTGCAGCTGACAGCACAGACCGCGTCCGATGTCGCACTCGCCGGACATGTTGCACTCCTCATCTGGAATCATTCAGAGTCGGTCGGTTACCAGGCTTCGATGTTTATAAATAACGGTCTTTACGTAAGAACTTATAATTATCCGTTTGACGCAATCGTTTGTGAATTGACCTTCTGCCGCGAGACACCGTTCAGGGGATAAAAGAATATCGGATAGAGCGTGGGCGGGCAAGGGCTGTACTCACTGTAAAGTTTGTTCGACGTCACCGGTGGTTGACACGATCGGGACTCGCTGCCAGGAACCTCGGCGCACATTAGACCGGTTTCACAGTCATTGTCCCGCTTGCATAGCTCGCCCTGTTTCTGGCCGAACACGAACATGCAGTGGCCGACCACTGGAAACAGCAGCGATTCACACCTTCGTCGAAATCAACCCCTAATTGCCGAGGCGATTCGGTCTATCGAGTCTTTCGGATAGATAGTCATTTTTTGGAATTAATTCTCCGTTTTATACTCATCTCAATGTAATTCTTTCAGTGAACCTTTATTCTTTTAATAAGTCAAAAATAAAATTGTTCGTTTAATTAAGCCAGCTGTTGCAGTCTCTTTGAAAAAGGTTCAAATACAACAGTTTTATAAAATGTATAATTTAATACAGAATACCGAAGCATATATCCTTTTCAACCAGTATATTTTTGACGCGTATACTCGTCACGAAGAAATGGCAACATTTTCTGTTACGACGAGGTCGTTAGTTATTATAACTAATTTACAACAATCTGTAATAACTAACGAGTTATAATCGTTAATTATTGATCGGGTTACTTCTTCGTTGAACGCAGTCCCAGTTAAGTTATCTTCGTCGCGACTGTTAGCAAAGTCTCAGGGACTTCACCCCGGCAGACCAAAGGATCGGGGCAAGGGTGATAATTACCTGCATCTACGGTAACGCAAATGGATCCCGGGCAACACTGTTCGTTGGAGGTGCAGGGTCTGTCCTCGCAGGGTTGAACTTCCGCCAATTCCTCCATCGACTCCCCATAAGAGTTCCCATAGGCGCCAGACAGGGGCCGCTTGAACCGAAACGCGAGACGTTGGAGTTCCCGACGGGGGCTAGGAGACGCGAGGCCGATATCGCGAGGAAAGTGGAGCAGGTCATGCTTCGGCTGCCATAACTTAGCGCTGAATGGCCGCCGTACGTGCCACCGGCGAATTTGTGAACGGCAGTTTGCGATGCAAAGAAATTCTTTGGTCGTTGATAATGTCGCGGGAATTTTTCGCGACGGTTCGACGTAGTCTCGTTAACCGACCGCACCGACGAAGTCACCTAAATTCGATCGCATTTATGGCGGCCAATTAACTCTGCCGAATCAAAAATCGTACGGACTTCATTCTTAGCGCGTAATCGTCGGCGAAACGTTTGCGGTAATAGCGCGAGATCGCGTGCGATTTTTCCGAAGGAATTGCCCGACGATCACTGGGCTCGATTATTAATCGGAATCGCGGCCAATTATCGGGGCGCTATCTCTCGAGCCTTTTCTCTCGCGGGGATCGTTCGTGACGGAGAGGCGGTTTTCATGCAGAGCTGTTACGTGAAAATAATATATCGATCGAACGCCGGTCGTACTGCGGCAGAGTCGCATCATCGCGATGGGCACAGCCGCGGGAACGCGAACGCTGTGGTTTCAGAGCTCCCTATGGATTTTTACCTGGTACAGTCCTGATTTACTCATGTAGTCGCCGTGGCCACCGTAGCCCAGATTCGACAGTATTTCCGGGCTGAAACGGTTGAACACACCGCCCCATGCGCTCACTTCGAGCTGCATCGTGCTCGCCAGAGCGACCACTGCCAATGCAACACACGTGCGCATCTTTGGTTCGTGTATCGGTTGCCGCAGGGACGATTCGGGATCTCTGAAAACGCATTCGGGGATCTTTGGTTCATCCTCGACTCGGATTCGAAACGGAGACACCTTAAGACCGGGCACTTCGCGCACGCTGTGCACATTGTATGCACTTGCGGTGCAGTAGTCGATTTCGTTTGATTTAGTTCGATAAAGTTTCAGAAAGAAATTGCTAAGACCTTGTGAAACTGGATAATTAGAAAATAAGAGATGAAATTTATTAGAAATATTGAGAAAACGACGTTTTCCCAAGTGTAGCCAACAACGGTGCATCGTTAGCTCTAAAAGGGTTAAAACAGCTGGGAGATTGAGAGACTTGCATCGTTCTGCAATTTATGATGCATTTAAAAAATCCGATTCTAGTCCTACGCGTAGAATTATTAGATCAGAAAGGTAGAATTATTAGTTCCAGGTAGCTAACACTAATTATTAGATTTTCATGGAAATTCCCATGTTCATACGTTATTTTATAAAAATCAGACAGAAATCTCTTCCCTCGTTTAAAAAATTACTCATTCCAAAAATAAAATAAAAACACGATTAGACCTTGTAAATTTGTACGTTCTCCTCCACTTCGCGAATCTGCACACGGCATAAACGCATAAAGATCCGCAATCCAAGTGATTAATCTCGCAGAGGATCTACGCCGAATCGAGTAAAATGCGTTACCGTAGTTGAACAGGTGTCACGCGACAACTTTCCCCCCTGATTAAATGCCAAATCAATCTTTTGCTCTGACACCCTCCGCGTAGAAATCGCGGAATTTCTCAAAAGACCTCACCGCATTAGACCACGGGAAAGTAGTACACGCTCGACGATCACGCATAAATCTCCGCCCCGTATGCAAATGCCCTAACAATCCGCGTTTCGTTGGAGATCCCGCGAGGATAGCGACCAAGGCTGAACCCGGCGATTTCTGGGAAAAAACTGGTCGGGGGTTGGAATCAGAGCGAACGCTGGTACTTACAGTGTTCTGCGCCTAAGTCCTGCCTGAGCTCGGCCGGTGGTTCGAAGCAGGAAGGATCAGCCGCCTCTCTCGCCAGTTCCCCGGGATCAACAAGTCCTCGATGGAGTTCGCTGGAGGACTGAGACTGAGTCCAGCCGCGGCAGCATTGGCAATCTATACTTCCACGTCGGCACGTCGTTCCGGTTTCCCTAGCGAAAGCTCGCGGCAAGCTCCGCGCGTGCGCGCCCTCCTAAGCTTTTTTTCCACGGCGAACGCGACCCAGGTGACATTTTCTCCATTCAGATTTTCGATTGCCCGTTTTATTCGTGACGTGTGATAACCTTTTACCTCCCGGCGACAAAGGGCTGGCCAAAACGTCGCGCATTCCTTCGCCCGGGCTGGAAACACCCTTTGATCGATCAAACAATCCCATCTGTTTGCTTTCAATTTATTCCCGCGGGTTCCTCTTGCTCTCGCGTAACGACCAGCGTTTTCTAGATTTCTGTTAAGAAAGATCAGAGGTTAACCTAGGTCGTGGTTTTTTATCGGTGAAGGTTCCAGCTGGATTTTCGAACGCCTTATGGAATAGGCTGTTCAAACGTACAGGTACTGCGAAAATTGTATCCTGTCCCAGGACGCAGCGGCGCCGTTCAACGGGCGCATAATCGTGTAGGTGTTCAGCTCTGTCCTCGTCGTTCCTCTCGCACCGCCATTGTTTCGGTCTCTCTTGGTCGTATTGATCCGGGTGTCCTGATGTTCTACTGGCCGGTCGATCCTGCTCCGTGTACAGTGTGTTCGTCAGCTGTAGGACTCGGAGAATGAACAAACGCCTGTTTCTCGAACGCGACAACCGCTAATTAACATCCTCGGAAGCAGAGGATTAGCAACGATTCTCTCGCGATCGAAGCAATTCATATTCTCCGTAACTAATTGACGATCGTAACGAGGACCAAGATAACCGGGTAGTCGCTCGCCAAGGTTAATACGGCAATCGTCCCCCGATTAAAACAGGATGAAAATTGCACGCTTCGATCTCTCGTAATTGGAAGCTCGAGTGATCGTTTATCCGAGTGGATATAGTAATCCTTCCTGGATTCGAAAGAATGGAAATTGCATGTTCTAATCCTTTATAATTAAGACTCCGGATGATCGGAGTAGACAAAACACAGTGGCCAACAAATGCGTTCGCACATCTTATAAAATGGAATAACTTTTTCAAGACTGGATCGTCTGACGTGAGTTTTGTCATTTTCGTTTCTCATTCCAAGTAATAGCAAAATTAAGAACAGATATTTTAGTCGTTGTCTAGTAGACTAGTCCCTCTACCGTCTAAAAACAAACAGTCCAGTTTCAAACAAGTTATCGCGTTTTGGCGGTTGCTCGAATACTTTTGCTGGCCACTGTACGTAAATCTCCCTGGATTCGAACGGATAAGATTCAATCTTCCATAATTAAGATCCCGGATGATCGCAGATAGTGCTCTTTTCATTTCAAAAAACGATGGTCTCGTTTCAATTATTCATAATTAGTTGAGGGATTTCAAGGCAGGTTTGTAGGGTGCACGTTGCAGTCAGAGTTTATAGAATTTAAGATAAAAGCGAGAAAATTTGTAAGCTTGAAAGAACCGAAAAGGGGCACAGAAATATTCTGCAGAAAATTGTCGAGCGATCTCTTTTAAGGGTGAACAAAGCAGCGCTGCTTCCTCGACCAGGAGAATTTCGTTCCGTTCGGCGACTCTCGCCGACGGATCTTGCAAAGAAGAAGCTCTCTTCTGGATAATTCGCGATTCGCCGTGTTTACCACGAAGCAATCACGGTTCATGTGCTCGCGATACGCATCCGTCGCATGCACGCGTTCGCGGCGCCCGACCACCTGTCCATGGAAATGCCAAAGTGCCTCGCGTTACCTGTGTAACGCGTCTATTTATAATCGGTCCGCGTTTCTGAATGGGGAAAATCGAAACGAAAACCGCGGGATATGCCGTGCCAAGTCGAGGGCCACGGCTCGTTATTAATCCCCCCGGATCCGCTCAACAAAAGGATTGTCATGTCCGCGAACAATAAAGCCACCCCTTTGTCCGCCGCGTTTTCCGGGTGCCACGAAAACCGGTCCGCCGAATCGGCCTCCGACCCGTTTCCTTTTTCGTTTCCTGCGTAAATGGTGGCGCGAATCGCCCCGGACAGCCGAGGCGTCACCTGTGATTAACTGTCCGGACAGTTCAGGTTCCCTGTTTCCGGAAACCTGATCGCCGTCGCTCCGATTCCGCCGCAGTCGACACTTTTCACTCGTTGATAATGAGAACGCACGGGGTGGCGACTGGATAAAGAACAACGCGCGTTCGGCAAAGTTAGATGAATGGGAAGATGCGTCAATTAATCGTCGGATAATTATTATTTATTTAGCAGCGTGCTCCCTGCGAATGGTCGAACGAATCTCTGGATCGTGGCGGTCAAAATGACCGGTTCCATATTTTCTATTTAAACATTTTTGGTATTACAGAGTCACTTTCATAGGAAGTGATCGAATAAATTTCTTAATGCAAACACACGTTATAATAAAAATGATGAGATGTCTAACTCAATTCAGTCTTGTAATTCTTATAAAACGACACATGTTACACCTCTTTAGTGCTTGGTAGGTTTAGTATTAAAACGCTAGCAGGATTGAAAAAGGTTCAGAGCATCGATGTAGTCAAGTTATTAAATTATCAAAATTAAATCATCGTTGCTATTGACTTATGCTGGGTTATGTTGGGGATTATGTTGGGTTATATTGGAGGTTATGTTGGGTTATCCTTTAAAACTGACTGGAAGCAGTGGCATTTCAAAGAATATATTTCTCGGAATTATTCGATACATTCTCGCGTAGCAAGGGGAGAAATAAGAGCGACGTAGTTTTCGAAATGGAAGCCAGCAAAGGGAAGTTATCCCTCTCGGCACGTAAAGTGAAGTTGAACGTGTGGGGGGATGAAAAGTTTGCTACGCGAACGCGGAGATGTTTCAGATGAAAAATTCTGCGGCCGCGCTTATGGAGTAGCCATCTTGATTCTTGTTCAGCGAACTAGGGCGACAGAAACGGGATAATTAGTGATGTACGCCGTTTGCGGTTCGGAGGGGTGAAAGGTCGCGCGAATCCCGGACGTTCGGTATGAACCGGACAGGATTGTAAATGAGTAGACCGTTATCTTGTATAAAAATGGGTTTAATAAATAACAGCTAACAACGAAATAAATAAGGCTCGCAACACGTGATTGTATACATATAGTACTCTCGACACTCTGCCAAAATTGAGGGGTTGAAATGGCGAGCGACGCGACTGTACATTTAAAAGCAAAACTGAACACGCATACAAAATTTATACGTAAATAATTGTTTGTTCCATCTTTGCATGTAGAAGATAACAAAATAAAATACACAGTATTAAGTACGATATTTTAACTTTCTAAAAAAATTTCTAGCGATCGTAATGTTATAATTATTTTGATGCAGCCCAGTTTTAAACCCTATCAAAAAGGTCTGGGCGAACTAGCAAACGAATATAATGCAGGAACAATGGTACTCAATTATTCCAAACTATTGCGAAAGGCTTATAATTGAAGCATTAATTCTACAAGAAATTGAAACGTAACAAAAATTGCATGCATCAAAATAATGATGATATTACAATTGTTAAAATCTCTTTGGAAAACATTGTACTGAATAATATATATTTTGTTTCCTTTGTCTATTCTATAGACGAACACATCGAATATAAATTTATTTTTCTTTTAAATTATCGTATGCGCGTTCGCTGTTGCTCTTAACTGCATCAATTAAAATCCGCATCATTTCGAGGCTCCGGTCGGCTGAAACAAAATTACTCTAGTGGACCGCAGCGTGTTACCAGCGCATGATCATTGTCGTTTTTTCGGTAGTCCGTCGTTCGCCGTTTGAACTTTTCGCTTACATGAACGAGCCCCGCCTCTCCTGAGCCCGAGAACTGGGGCGGGGCGGGCCGGCTCGTTGCTCCGTTAACAAATTAGTGTAATTACGCCCACGAGATCTCGAGATCTTTCATTCAGATGCAAAGCTCGCCTGGCACACGCGTGCCCAGGGACACGTACACGGAGCACACGACACGATCGATGAGCTTCGGCACAGAGTAGTTCTTTCGCTCGTGCAGGTCAACGTAGACGGTTACAGTCGAACGAACTAGCTTCCAGTCCCACGATCGGCGATTCTCGATCGATCCCGGACGAAATAAATTAGTCTTCCTTTGTACATTTATACAAGCCGGCACGGAGTCGTCGGTGCCGGACGAGTTCGGTTAGGAGGGGCTCAGTTACCCAGGCCCCTGGTCCCGGTGACGCCCTGTAGCCACGGCTTGAAGAAGGTGGTCCTCATGTAGACACCCGGCAGATAGGGCGCGGCGCACTTGATTCCATGGGACACCGTGCCGACCAGGAACCATCTTCCGTCCGACCGCTGCATCACCAGCGGGCCGCCGCTGTCACCCTGAAGATAATAAACGTTACTTGCAATTTAACTTATTATTATTAATTATAATAGAACGACATATAAACCGGCGACGATTTAACAAGGCCGAGGAAGAACAGAACCGGTGTTCTTCCCCGAGGAGAGGAATAAATTGCTCGACCCTAAGCTAATGGCTCCAGGTGAGAGATTCGGTTCTTCCATAAATACCTCGCAGGAGTCCTTCTGACCAGTGGCGTAGCCTGCGCAAAGGAAGCTGTCCAGGATCAGCTTCGAGTGACCCGCTGTCTGGAACATCTCCTGGCAGACGGAGTTCTTTATGATCGGCACCTGAACTTCTTGAAGGGTCGACGGTACTCCGCCATCTGCAATTAAAAATGATCAGCATTCAGGAATTCGTGGATCATACGAACTGTCACGAAGGATAGAGGATCCACTCACTGTACTTCAGTCGGCCCCAGCCAGTAACAGTAGCCATTCTGCCAGTAAAATCGATTCCCTCCTCCGGCATACAGATGGGAACGATATGGTCGTCGAAGACCACCGGCGACTCCAGTTCCAGAAGGGCTAAATCATTCTCGAAGGTCGCGGGATCGTAGCCCCTGTTCACGATCACGCGTCGAACGTTTCTCGTCACGCTGCGTTTGTCCTCCAGTTCGCCGGAGAGGTCGTATTCTCCGAAGACTGCCACCAGGGTTGCCAGGAACCTGAGCAAAATCGATCGACACTTAGGTCTTCGAAAAGCTAGAAGAATGAGTCGAAAGGGGATCGGAAGCTAGGGTTTACCCTGGTTGACAGTGAGCGGCGGTCACCACGTATTTTTCTGTGATCAGCACGCCCCCGCACTTGTTCTTCGTGAACAGGCCCAGCCAGGTCGCTTCGCGGATCAAGACCTGCCAAGGCCACTTGCCGAAGTAGGAGCTTTTGCCTCCGACGATCTTGCCTTCCCTCGCCAGTGGCCTAATTCCACACTCTGCGGAGCAAAGACGAAGATATAGCTGCCTTTAAGAATCGAAGAGTAGTTTCTGAAGGTAAAACTCGACCAGCTCTTCAGCCAAGGAAATTACACGAGCTCCTTAGCAAAGAGAACTAAATAAGCTCTTCGGCAAAGAAATCCGAACGGGCTCTTTAGCAGAGGAAACTGCACGAGCTCTTCAGCAAAGAAAACAAAACGAGCTCTACAGCAAAGAAAATTACGCGAGTTCTTCAGCAAAGAAAATAAACGAGTATATCGGCAAAGAAAACATATCAGCAGGCAAAACTAGATCATCTTCGGCTAAACTTACGCGATCGTAGATCATTAGAAGACGTTGTCTGGGCCACGGTGGTAGTCTCGGCAGCAGTCGCAGGGCTAGTCTCCTCCTCTTCAAGGACCACAGCCTCCGTGCTGGTAGCCACCGTGGTGATGGGTCTTCTGGTTGGTCTGCTTCGTTTGGTCGTTACTGAAGGCTTCTTCGTGGTGACGCTGGTCACTGTGGTCGGTTTCGGCTTGAAAGTTGTGGGCCTTGAAGGTCGAGCAGGCTTCTCCGTTGCCGCCGGCTTCGCCGAAGTCGGACGACTGGCGGGTCTCTTCGTGGTGACCGGTCTTCTCGTCGTACTCGATAAAGGCTTGGTGGTCGTCGCGGGTCTCCTTACGGGTTTCTTCGTGGTGCTGGCTGGCCTCTTCGTGGGCGTGGCTGGTGCCAGCGTGGTGGCGTTCGCGCGATTGTAGACGACGTCTTTGAGTTCCTGGAAACCGGAGTAAATCGACCTTCATCGTTTGCGAACGAGTGCTGAAGTATTAAAATCGTTTCAAGTATGTACCTGGAAGTTGCCCTGCAGACTCTGCACGATCTTATTCACGAACGTGTCCACCTTGTTCGTCAGCACGTCGTCCTCGATGAACATGGGAGTCGGGATGTCGTTCTCCCCGAGTATCTCAATGTCAGGGTAGCCGGTGTTGTTAAAGGTCTCGACGATAGTCGGCTTCTCCTGCTGGGAAATCGGCGTAGAGATGTTCAAGTTGGGGTTCCTGACCGGTGGGAAATTGATCAGGTCATCCGGAGCCGGCGTGTCGTCCTCGCACTGAGGTGACGGCGTCGTGGTCTTGATAGTCAGGGTGGTGGAGACGCTGGTGTCCTTGATGATCAGGGTGTCTACCGGCGTCAGGTTCTCCTCGGAGAATTCTAACGACGGCGTCGATGGTTTCAGATAGAAACTAGGCTTATCCGACCATGGTGCGAACGTGGTCCAAATGGTAGGCCTTCTGGTGGGGGGTTTGGTAGAGGTTTGCGGCTCTTCGGCAATCACAGGCTCCGTGCTATAATTATTGCTAACGGTAGGCTTCGATGTGGTCCCGTCCTTCAGATTCACGCTGAAGAAGCTCGTCGAGACGACGTTGTTTGTGGCCACGTTCGAGATCACGGTGCTGATGTTATGAGTGATCGTGGTAGAGACGCTGGGCTTCTTCGTGGTGATAGGACCGGGCCTCAGAGATCCGGCCGTGGGTCTGGCGATCGTTGAAGTGGGCCTGACGATCGTCGATGTGGGCCTAGGAATCTCAGGCTTCTTCGTGACCAACTTCTGCGTGGTCTCTGTTGATAGTTCCGTTCCGAGGGGTCCTAGAACGATCACCGTGGGAGCCGGAGGGTTGGCAGTGGTGTTGCGAGTGTATCCAAAGCTGCTGGCCTGCGTCGACGGCCTTGAAGAGTGACTGTAGGTCGTCGGGTAGGTAGGATAGGTCGTTTCCGTCGGGACAGTCTCGTAGTTATAGTAATTCGACGTGGGCAGAGGCTTGTAGAACACGTAGGGGAAGGTCTGGGTAGCGATTGGTCCAGGCGTGGACGCCTTGGTCGTGGAGATCTTGACGAGAGAGGGCTTCGAGGTCTCGTCGATGCTGACCCACTTGTTGATGGACGAGTTAGGGGTCTGTATAGTCGTCCCGGAGCCTGGCTTCGTGTTGTTCAGGATAGAAATGATGTGATTGATCGCCAGCTCTTCCTTGTCCACCGCGTCGTCCTTCTTGTTACCTGACGGGGTGTCGTACGTAATAGTGGGCACTCTAATTAATTCGTCGTCCTTATCGCTCAACGTTGTCATCGGCGTGGTAGTCCTCTCGTTCCCAGTCCCAGTAGCCTGCACGTCTTTCGTGGACACCCTCTCCTCGACGGTGCTAACCTTCTCGAAGATGTCTGTCTCCAACATAGGTGGACTGGTGGTAGTTTCCTGCACGCTATACGTTGTCGCAATCGGCGATTTGGTCATGGAAGGCGTGCCGAACCTATGGTCAGTGTTGAAGAACGAAGATTGCTCGGGATACTTGATCCACTGAGTCCCGAAGCTGCTGTGATAAGTGGACCCGATAAACGGCTTCTTCTTCGTGACGGTTGGCAAAGATTCCGTCACCTTGGTCCTTTCAGTGGTCTCGGACACCCGTCTCGACTCGGTGCTGGACTCCAAGCTGGGTTTGAACAGGTCGTCAGGGTTGTAGGTCTCGTTCAACATCGTTCCATTCTCGTTCAGGAGAATCGTGTCCGCCGAGCTGTGATTATTTGGACCCAGTCCCTGAGAGAACAACGCGGGCAGCTGATCAACAGGGTCGGCAATCTGGAGGATCTGATCAGGACTGAGCAGCGTGGTCACAGGATTCAGATTGGCCGCGTCGTGCTGGTTTTGGATGTCGTTGTTGTTCTCCGAGTGGGTCAGCAACGCAGGCAGTGACAGGTCGTCCAGAATATTTTGCTGACCCAGCAGAGCTGGGAAGTCCTCTTCGAGGTGACTGATGTCCGGCTGAGGCGGTATCTGAGGCTTCTCAGCATTCTGTATAGCGTCCATGATGTACGCCATGCTGGAAGGCCTGCTCGTAGTCGACGGTGCTTTGAACGTGGAGATTTTGGTGTACGACGTCTCCTCGGTCAGCTGATTACCCGGAGTCTCGGTTTTCGCGGTGTTGTCCTGGGGCACTGTCATCCCCAGTGGCGTTCCATCGGCGTTCAAGAGGATCGGTATGTCCGGCACGTGGTCGATCTCGTGCACGTCGAACGGATTCGTCCACTCGTTGCCCAGCTGGCCCAGGTTACTCGAGCCGGAGGCTTTCGGTGGCAGCTGGCAACAGGCCCCGAAGAGGAAGCCGTCCATGCAGGCTCCGACCACCTGGCCGTTCCGTTGCGAACACTCATAGTTGAACATGCATATCGCTGGCTCGGTGGACTTCACTCGGGTCGGGATCGTGGGCTGACAGACCTTGGGCACTATCCTGTAGCCGCCGAACAGTCTCCTACCTGTGAATCAGACCGATTCCTCGTTTTCATCTTAACCGTGAACAATAATTTGGCGGATCTCGTCGAAAACGCAGATTTACAGACAAAATCTCGTCATTAAGTGAATGATCCCCCGCGAACATTAAAATTCCACTGTTCCTCGGAGTCTTACAAATCCGCGCACGGATTTGCCATGCGCCGTTAGCAGCGGTTTGCAATAAACGCGGCGTGGTATGGAGATTTTTTTTAATACCGCAGAAAACGAACAGGAGCGTGAAGATAAACTGATGTAGGCGCTACGGGCATGACAGTAGAAAGTTTGCCTGTGGGTACCTCTAACCGACATACTGTTGGGAATTCGAGGTATAATAATAATGGTTCCGGTAGTTTGTTCAACTGTAACTCTTTGGCACAAAGGGGCATAATTAACGCACCGGAGATAAGGGAAAGAGCAACAGTGCGGCTCTACTGGGTTAACGTTGTGTCTCGGATTTTCATTTTACTGTTAGCTGTAAAAATTCTCCTCTGGGAATCGCTAGTGGAATAGGCGCGGAGAAATGTTCTCCGCATTGTCGGATGAAAATGATGAACGAAATTGGACGGTCAGTAGAATGTAGCAGCGCGCCAGAGGTAATTAACGATGGTTCCATTAACCAACTCCGTCCGAATTTCGGGCTTGTTTGTCCCTTAATTACCGCAATTTAATTTTCAACAATTATGGCAAATTATATTGAAGACCCACGACTTTCGAAATCATTAAAAGCAAGAAGTCTTGATACGACACAGAGTAGAGAATTTTAAGATAATTGCAAATTACACATAATTTTTGTTCAAAAATTTTATTAAAAAATTAAGCAGCCTATAAACGAAGAACCTCTATATGGACGGCTCGGAGGCCAATCAGCGTTAGTTCATTAACCTTAAAATCGAGATAAATAAGAATTTCGCAAATTGTGTGGTTGTAAAAAGATGCCGCTAATAAAGTGCAAAGCGCAATTTCGATTGCGACCGAATAAAAGAAAGTCAATAGTAATCTTGAATTGTTTTATCTAATTTTCTGTTATTTTGTTTGGTCATTCCGTGGTCCTATTTATTGTTTATTGATGAAGGAAGATCGTACGATAAAAGACGCGTGTTTGTACTGCGCAAGTAATTTTCAAAGAAAACTGTGCTCACACCGATCGGCTTCGTATTCGTTCATACGTCTGTTTAAAGCCCCAGCATCGTAAAGCAAAATTGACTTTCATTCGATGCAATAAACCTCGATCTTAAATGAATTACGCTTGTAAAATTGATACCCGGCAGCGTTAGATTGAATGCCGTTGAAGCACGATGTTAGGTAGGCGAGAAAACTAGCGATTAAGTGTTAATCAGCCCGAACAATGACGGCGTGGCCGAGCCCGGAGGCAATTAGTTGCATGCAACGGTCCGTCGGCCGGGTTGAAAACGAAACGAGAGAGTCTCGGGGCCCGGCACATGTATTCCGGGGGGCCCGTTCGAAGAGTTTCACGGCGGAATCGAGGCCGCTCGTCCCGAATTCCTTGTTTGGCCCGCGGCGCGACCCCGGATCGGTTGTTCAACTTTCGGCGGTCCGATTAGTGAAAACCGATCCGAGCCAGTTGATTTAGGTTTTTGTCGGCCGCGATGCGCCGTGTATTCACCGTGATCGGTTCTGGTTAGGTGACCGAGGCATAGGCGAGCAAGCATCTAGGCTCTGCACGTGCTTCCTTATATGCCTGCATACTACCGATACAATGACCTACTCCGTGCATCGTCCGTAGTGCTTGACACGGGCACTACCAGCTCGTTCCACATAAGTTTTTTCCATTTTTTATTTCCACCTGTTCGTCGATTTTTCGCGGGAACTGCTCTGCAAGGAGAAGCGGACCCGGCTTACTCGTCCGGAGCTGCCCGGGATCACCGGATCGCGCGATTCTTCCCTCGGAAATTTGCAATTAAGCGATCAAATCGCCGGCAATTAAATGGATTCGGCCAGCCGATCCGTTATCTCGGTTGCAGCCCGAGATACGAAGTAGCGCAGTCGGCAGACAAGGAATTTTTCATGAGACAACGCTGACCCGGCTGCGAAACCGTTCCTGGGTCAGTCATCATCATTTTTTTCTCCCCCTCGGTAACGTGCAAACGACGCCGCCTCGATGCAGATTTTTCCTTTCCGCGGACGCGCCGAACACACCGAGATCTAATCTGATTTCGTTGGATGGCCATGACTTCGGCGAAATTTTTATTTTGCGAAAACATTCGTCGTCCAGTTATTACAATGCAAGTGGTTAATAAATTCTGGCGATGTCCTCGATAGCATCAAGGATTGCTCGGCGAACGCAATATCCCTGGTTACCGCGAATTAAAATGCACGATCACTTCCAATCCGTTAGCAGGGCTCGCGACAAACTCGATAAAAATGTTTGCCCGCGTTTCCCGCTTTTACGAGTGTCGCGTGCTCGCGAAAATGTAATCAACGTTTCCAATTATCAAGCGTGGGCGTGTGTGCACAGACAGGGAGGGGACTGGAATAACGTCTGTCGTATCGATTACGAGACGCGCCCGGGCAAGTCGACTCGTTAACGCGACCACAATGATAAGAATATCGCGTGCGGCTCTGATTAACGAGCCACAATTTTGTCGGATCGCCATTTTTCCAGCTAACACGCCGAGTTATAATCCGAGGCTGGCCAGGCTTCATTAAAAGTTTTGCTCGCGTATCCAGCGCCTCGTTAAATTCCCACGTTACCGGGAAATGCGTCTGCCAGTAGACGTGTTCTCGGATTTTCTAATCTCATGCTACGAACGATGTTTGCGAAGTTCGAGCGAACTTTTACGTTCCCGCCGGCGGCGTTTTACATAGATGTAAGGAATAGTTAACGCGCGACTGCGGTTCCCGTCGTTGTTGCAGCAGCGAAAGGTTTAGGTCATCCTGTTTGATTAATCACCGATTATTTGAGTGTTTTTAATCGATCCTCTGTACGTAGAGTCGTTTACCGTGAAACCGGAGTCACTGATCATTCAAACAGGGTCACTGATCATTGCAGCATCATGTTTACAAGGTAGCAAACATGTTAAACTGCTGTCGCTGTAATTTCTTCGATCTTGACTCTTGCAGTTTATGATCATCTGTCTGTCACTGATCATCCAATTGGGGTCACTGATCGTCAAAGAAATATTTTAATAACGGATCAAAGATGAATTGTCGTGGTTACAATAATTTGTTGACTTCAGGTCTTACGATGTATGATCTTCTGAGTGTAAGATTATTGATCCTCAAGAATGGGTCGCTAATCATCACGTAAGGTCACTGATCATCAAACTAATATTAATTAATTATTAATTACGACGAATCCTTGTAATAAGATATCAAAATAAGACCCAGGACATAGAACCGATTGCAAACGATTCTAGTTTAGCGAGCGATTCGAACTAATTCGAAATTAACAACGCGTAGACAATGGCTTTTAAGACACCTTCTAGCAGCGACTCGCGCGATAAACCGCGGCGAAGTAGAATTTTCACGAAAGTAGTCCTCTAGCGTAGTATTCTTAGCTAGAAAATAGTGTTTACCGGGCAGATAAGCGCCTGGCTCTTAACAGCTATTCAAGAATTTGCATAAAGATATGTATAAAGCCGTCCGGAAATGTGCTGTGTGATTACCAGATTGCATATCTCAGTTGCTGCGTGCAAACTCAGGCGCAAAGAATCGTAACAAGACACAATAATGATCCAGCTTATTTTCGCAGGGTGTTATCCGCTGTGTTTAACCACTAGAAAATCTGTTGCACACGATCTTCCATGAAAATGCGAAACGGCATACCGTTCTCATTGTTTCGTCGAACAAGTTTGTCTACCACTCAGAAACTCGAGCGATCTCTTTGGCAGTAAATAAACCAGTCCCAGCGGTTTATCCGTGGAGATCGAAGAAAATGTCGCGGGTCAAGGAAAAGTCCCGTTTCCCGCGGCCATGATCCCGCGAGATATTCCTGTTCGCGTCGCCGTCGCGTCTCTCGCGCGCGAGGATTGTTCGCGCCGCGTAATTGCGCGCGTCAACACCGCCTGAGACTGTGTTCCCACGTGCGTGGCTCACGGCTCCAGGGTTCCCAGTCTCTCAGGATACGCCGGTCGTTTCGCGGATTATCCACGGGTCGAGCATCATGATTGAATGGAAGCGTCGCTGAGGACCGCGCGAACCCGACACTGACACCGAATTCCACTTACATCTCACTTCCTTTCGAAAGTCGTGAATTCCATCGAACCGAGGCTCCCGGGGAGCCGGCACCCGGCACCCGGCACTCGGCACCCAACTCTCAGCGCCGGAGCTTCTACGCGTTCGTTCCCAATGCGCGACAGAAATTTCAGATATTCGTTCCCCCGCGGCTGACACACATTCGCCACGCGATCCGCGCACTGAATTCGAAGGAAACCGCCGCGGAATTCCGCGCTGATCGGCATCGGAACAACAGAAATGGGAGCAGCCTTAATGATCCCGTAAGAATCCGAGATCACCCTGATGACCGACGTTTCTAGGCGCGGGTCACTTTCACGGTTTCGTTTCTCTCGATTCACTGCCGCCGCGTCGGCACTCCCCTGTGATCAGGGTTTAACATTATTCGAATAATCTCTCGAATTAATTTGTCGAATTTTTATTCGAATTCTTGTTCGAATTTTTATTCGAATAATCTTTCAAATAAATTCTTCGAATAAAATTTGATTTGAGTAATATATTGAATGAATTCTTCGGATACAATTTTCTTCGAATAAAACGGTCGTAATCACGGTCGGCGATATCCTCCACGGGACGATTCCGTGCTACAGAAATTACGGATGATCTTCGTCAAAATTTATCTCATCAGCCCCATCGACAAGGAGGGTGTCCGCTTCAATCTAAATCGACCAAACTTTTCTTACGCCAATGCAAAAGTTGGAAATCGTGGTTCATTCCTGCGGCAGGTGCTGAGATTGCTCGCTGGGGAGACGAGTAAACTCTCGTGGTCTCTTTAGTTCCCCATAGTTTTCAGAGGAAATTAGAAACTTGTGCAGTTCGTTCGTGTTTGATTCGAATCTCGTTTAATTGCGGATCGCCCTCGCCGCGGATTTTCGTGCAGAAAGTGTATAAAACGCAGGGAACAGGAGTCGAATAAAGATTTCTAGCGACGTGACGACAGAATAATAAACAAACGAAGAGAAAACACCCGCATGCTGTTTCAGTAGCATTTGCAAACATGCGTGTGTTCAGATACTTTCGAACTGCAGCGCGCGCGCGCGCGGAAATTTTCATAATTTTCTGTGTCGCCGATCATGTTAGTTAGTAATGTTAACAATAGGAAAGTGGAAGTTTACGGAGCGTTTAACTTCGAATTCAGTTTTCACTGGTTTCGCCGCAGCCCGTGAACCAGAGAAGGCCAGTGAACTCGCCGGGTGGTACACTGACACATCAATGTTACGATGCAAAAAACAAGGATAAATCCGAAACGAATTATTTCCCCTCCTGCTCCAACGATTCGACTAATCGCGGCGTAATTGCGTTTCCCGGTCGATAAGTTCTCTCGGACGGTTACAGCTAATTGTTAATTGTCTGTTCGATTAAAAGGCGTCACAGCCAGCTTGTTATCGAGAGGGGCGAGGTTCGTTACGCAACGTAATTGTTACCTGCAGCCTGGGCGACGTAAGAGTGCGAAATGACGGACGTCGAAGAAAGGATGACGATGAGTAATTGGACACTCTTCCCGACAGCCATCTGCAACAGGAAAAAAAAACCAACGAGATTATTGTTCGTTCGCCGGCGATGATTGTCGGTTTGCGAGAAGAAGAAAAAAACCCGTCGAGAGTAATTAGCCTACATTTGGCGAGCCGATTCGACTGAACAGAAGCCGCGTTGCTTTTCAACGACGAACGGAGAGTTCTCTGGCCGGTGAATGTCGAGTACATTAATCGTCCTTTCAAATCTGCTCATATTATATGCGGCATGTTCGGTAACGGTACAAGAACATCTCGAGAGCCTCCGCGCCACGGGGATTCAATTACAATTCAATTCTTTGAGCCGGCTGGTCCGACCGAGGAGACAAATCGCCCGTCGATCACCTAGCGCTGTGCACGAAATTCGCGACAATGCGAATCGCCGAACGGGTCGCGTCGTTTTTCCTCGTTCGACGCACTCGCGATTCTGGCCATTCGCGCGGTCCAAGCGGAAACGATTCCTGGGGAATCTAGATGGCAACCCTTTGGCACATAAAGGGTTCAAGGGATCAAGCTCGAAATGGTTAAAGCTAAAATGATCGATACGATCGCGATATTTATCTACGTTCATAAAACTAGAATTGAGGCAGTTGAATGAACCGAATAAAGAAAGCACTGTTCGCCTCGTAATCTTCGAAGGCAAAAATGAGTCCCAAAAGGTCTCCGCACCGCACGTGTATTCACCTGTACTGTTCCCAGCAGCTCCAGTTTCGAAATGAACGTGTCCGAAAAATCGTTCCGACGAACGCACTCGACTTTTCGCGAACTCACTGTCGCCGGATCATCGGATCGAACCGAGACCGCGGAAAGGACCCGGAGAATTCGATCGAGGTCCACCTGCGCGTTACAGCCGGCTCGATAATCTCGCGATACCTGGCGAGATTTACGCGGTCGCGCGCACGTGTGTTCGACGGAGGTGAGCACAGGCTACACACGGTGTCCCTACGCGCTCCGAAATCCCGTTACCGAGTCAGACCGGAGGCGTTCTACGGATTCGCTGGCTCCGTGATGCTAAACAGAGGAGCGAAAACGATCCCAAGGAGGAACGAAGGGAAGAGATCGCCGAGGAACAAGAGGGGCCGTGAGAAAGACGAAGAGAGCGAGAAGAGCTGATCGGCGTTGCTTCGCGAAGACACCGCTAACCCAGTTACCAATTCCCCCCCGTCGCTGCTTCTATTCTTCCTCGTTCCTCTGACCTTCTTAGGAATCAGCTCCTCGAATCTGCTACCGGCCGATCAGTTCCTTCCTCTTCCTCGGATTCGATCTTCCTTCCGGCACTCGAACCATTCAACGCACCGCCTCGTCGAGTTCTTCTTCGCCGAAGAACCTTCGACTCCTTTTCGGCCGTTCCTCTAATCGTCGCTCTTCTTCGCTAATTCCGAATCATCCAATGATTTAGGCAGACACGTTAGACACCTTTAGCAGCCTGAATTCTCTCCGATGGAGATTGCAGTCTCTACTCGAGAGCCTTTCCATCTCGACAGAGGGCGTTCGTTCATGAACATTGCAGCCTAGACGTTGACTTCGTTGAAAATGCACTTGCGTCTGCCTCTCGCATTAGGACTCCATTTTCTATGCACTTTGGCGCATAGTTTGTACGCAAAACTGGATACCATCGGCGAAGACCACTCCACGGATCGCTGCTCAAACGAATAAGAGAGGAAGAATCTGCTGTCTGGTTTTTAGATAGGATTTTTACATAAAATGGAAATCGACTGCATCGCGAGAGGATCGAAACTTCGCTAAACAGCAGGACATTTGCAAGCGTCTCTGTTCGGTCTCTTGTATTGAGAGGTGTTCTATGAGGTCGTGTCCCTCGGAACGGCTATTAGTCATTAGCGAACTTTGCTGAAACATTTCGCACCCAGGATTTTTTCACGTGTCTGAAAGCAATCGGTTCCCCCGTCGGTTCGCGCGGCCAAGAATCCGCGGAGTCAAGACACAGGGATACCGTTACTATCAATTATCAATTCCCCGTGCTGTTCGCCGTCCGTTTTCACGATTCATAGCAAAATGCTATTACGCACACGCAACCAGCTGTGTTACGCGCGGCGGCCGCGACAGTACGTTCGAGCAGTAAAAATGAAATTCGCCGTAAGAACGCTGTCCGTTGTCCGTTTCATGCGGACATCATGGAAAGTCCATTATTTCCGGCAGTGATAATGACGGATCATTGCGACACGGGGGTGTTCGTGCCGCGCACAAAATAAAAGGAGACAACGTGATACCGTTACATTCTTGTTAACGACATTCACGATCGACCGCTTTCGTCTCCGTTTCACAATTATTCGCATATTCACGCCATTTGTGTCTGTAGTTGCTAAATAAATCGTTCTCTTAGTTTTGGGGGTTGGTGAAAATTCGTAAATAGAATAAAATAAAACAGTCTAGTAACGGTTAACAAATTAGAGGACAATGCTCAGAGGCCGAAAACAATGAATTTCTGGACAAAGTCTTAAGAACAAAATTCAATTAATTATAAGATGCAGAAGCCACATAGATATATACTTATTTTCTTAATAATTCTCATAAGTTGGAAATGATGCAAAATTATCTCCAAATCATTGCAATGTTTTTGCTATTTTACAGCAGGATAATTTTTGTGGTAAATGCACAAAATCCACAGACCGGTTACTATTTTTGTACAAAATTGTGCACTGTTCGGACTGCATTATTATGTATTGTTTCGAGAAAGTGTTTTTCTCGATCTCCAGACGTCTATAGCCGTTCGAACCGGCAGAAGGAGCCGAAGGCGTTGGATCGTGGGAGTGTGTTGGCTGTTGACAGCGCGACAATCTTCCTTCCCTTTCATTCGGTCGTTTATTCGCGCGCGATACGGGCCGCACACGCGCGAATACGCGGAAGTCACTTTCCTTCGGACCGTTCCGTGTCTGTTTCTCCCTCGCTTCCTCCCGCGGCGCTCGGTTTCAAGCAGCTTCGATCGCGACAAAAACCGAGAGCCGTCCGAAGACGAACGTAATTATCGCGAACGATCCGCTCGTTCCTGCGGAAAAGATTAACGTCGCTCTCCGGGGGAGGAAGTCGGCGATCTAATAGCTCTAACGAGCCGGTCGTTTGCTACTGTTTCATCGTGAACCAAATTCTCCACCGTGTCGAGTTCTAACAGCTGGATGCTTCTTCTTCGAACGCGACCTTTTGCACCGTTTCCGCCCACGTCTCAAGGACACCGTATTCTATTCGCCTTTCGTTATTCGGAGTGCTCCCCGGCGCACAGATTTATCACGAAAAAGTTGCGGGAGTTGCAGAAGTTGGTGGCACAGCTTACAGATAAAAAGAGTATGTTGCTGTGTCAAAGGTTAGCGCATAGAACGGCGGATCTATTCGACGAAAATGAAAGCGAGTATGCTTCCGATAATTTATAATTTCATTTATCAAACTCTTCGATGCATTTTTCGAAATATTTCGCCTGATAGGCACGTCAGTTTTTCTATTCTATTTTAAGGGGACACATGTGAACATTTACCCCTTTAGAATCTCGCACGAGATTCGTATCAGCTTACAAGAGAATAGAATCCACAACGTTATTATTAATATTCCGGGAGCATACGGACCCGAGCCCCGCCGCGGCGTCCGAGTGTCAACAGAAGTACGTGGAAATCTGCAAAGCGTGACAGAGTTAATTTTTGCTCGGTGTGCAGCGTCTAACGTACGGGATTCTGAAAAACGCTAGGCACGAATTAAAGCGTGAAAATTGTGGGAAACCAGGTGCGTGTGTCGGCTTCATTTTTCCAGCCGGCGACTCGGCAAACAGCGACGGCGTTTGTTTACCCTCCTTCCGATTCCGCGGCGGATTTCACGAGAGTACAAGCGGGCGAACGCGTTCCCGCGGATAAATCTAAAAGGTAAAACGGGTTTCGCGTATGAAAGCGCGGATAAAGCGAAACGCTGCGGTAATAAATTGAAACTGAAGCTCCGATCCTCGTTGCGTCGGTGTGCCGCGGACACCGTGTGCCCGTTATACCAAGCGAATTTTACCTTGTTTCCTCTAAAACCGTTCGCGGTACGTGCCGGTAGTTAAATGACGCGGATAACTGATCGGCGAACGGTGCTTGCGGGTCAGAATTCCGAAAAAAATGTCAAGGTTATGTCAAGGTTATGTCAAGATTAAGCTTGGATAGGTCGTCGGTAAGCTTGGAAATTGTCCAGGCGACCATGCGAATGAAACCTCGACGAATTGTTTTTTAATGGTTCGGCTGGTAGCAAGTGCAGCTTATAAGCAACGTAATAAAAAGATGTTGTACAATGAACCCATTAATTTCGAATAGTTTGCAACACTTATAAAAGAACGGCACAGCCAAGAGGTTGAATGGGTGTGGATTGGAGCCCTCGCGGAAGAAGAAAGGGTTGTAGCGACTCTCTTCGTAGTCGGCAGTGCATCTGGCCGCGCAGATGTTTATCCGCCAGTGTTAATGGCATTCCGCTGCAGAAGATATTAAAACATAGCGCAGGCTGCCGCGACGACAAACGAAAACAAATTAGTCGCAAGGAAACTACGTAATTGGAGTGACGGCGGTTAATCGTCGCGGCGTCGAGTTTATCAGAACGTGTTCAGGAGGCAGCGAGTATAAAACAGAACGGCCGGCGACGAAACAATCGAACGACCTCCTTTATGGGAGCGCGTGGTTTACTGTCGCGTTCTTGGCGGTCGGGGCGTTGCTCCACTCTCGGAAGTCAGTCTATCATAGAAGTAGAAAGGAATCCCGAGCGCGCATATTCGATGCGTTCGTAAAGAGGACACCCAGTATGCTCTCCGCGAGGGCCCCGGACTCCGGACACGGACACGGTCACGATCTTCGTGGGCTCGCGGGGCCCCGTGGCTCGCCATGGGGGGAAAGAGTCAAAGAGTGTGTAGTGTAGACACCGGCTGAGAGTGCCTCGAAAATTCTTCCGCGTTCATTGGCCGTCCGTCAGCAGCCGAGGGGGGCAGTTTGTACAGGTGCGTGGAACACCGGCGCGGCACGGCGTGCATAGGATTCTGCGCGGACGCGTGTTCGCAGCACACGCGAGCCTCGGAGAAAGCTCAGCCCGGTCGTCTGCTCTTCGTTATTGGATCTGGGTGACCCGATTGGCTTGGCCTCAACCGAGAGACGGTTCACCTCGTCATCGTTATCGTCGCGCCGGGCCCCCGTTGTTCCTCTCCCCAATTTATATCCTCCAGACCGCCGCCGTCTAACCATCAACGGTTTCTTTCGCAATCATTCGTGGTCGAAGAGAAATCGCCCCGATGTTTAACCAACTCCTCCATCGTCGGCTTCGATCGTTCTCCTAGATGCAGAGGCGGCTCAGTTCGTCCGCAGAGGTCCTGCTCCGCACAATTTATCTTCTTAGCGAAACCACGATCCGGCCATCCGGATCCCTTTTCGCTGTTACTCGTGATCCCAGCGAAAGCTGCCTCTGGAGGGACTCTGCGAAACGTGGATGGGTTCGGACCACCTTGCTGGGACCTCCAAAGTTCATTGTTTCTGGTCCTTTCTTCTTGGTCCATGTAGTTCTAGAATTGTTCTTTCATCGACGCCTACCGAGTTCCTTTGAAGGATATATGTCTATCCCCGATAGATTATACTTTCTACTTCTAAGACTTTTATCGATCCTGCAAAAATCCTAGTTTACTTTGCAAAGTACTCGGTCCTTGACGACTCTGCTTCGAGAAGAAGCGTCTAACTAATCAGACTTTCCTCGAGACATCCGATATCCAATTTATCCTCTGTCTTCTAGAACAAGGCCTTTATCGATCCTGTAAAAATCC